CTATGAAAATGCCCTGAAAGCTGTAAAGTACTAGATGAAAGTGAGCTCTGTCATTATCACCCCTAGTTGCTGTAGGCAGCTTTTCATGTACATGTCTCATCGTTAGAGCTGAGCTGTAAGGGGGCCAGGACTGTGACCTACTTTAGCAGGCTCAAGCCTAACTTGGTACCTGCCGTATGGATGGTATTCTTATTTATATGACAGGCTGATTACTGTATTGATTACTACATCAGAGATTTAAATGGTTTGCAGATATTATTGCCATATATCTTAGCAAGAGGAAACAGTTTATAATTTTTCTGGATGAATGGTTTCAAAATAAATGATGACTCAGGTAGTCTGGAAACCTGAATATCTGTGTGCTGTGCCATGGTTTTTAATAAACCAACATGAAGTCAGTGTTACTTAATAGTATTATTGATCTAAAAACCGATATGTCAGGAATCCATTTATACTCCCAGTCAGCTGTGTCATTTAAACAACTCAAGCAGACCTTGAGACAGACAGGTAGAAAGGACAAGTAAGTGGCTATGTGGCTTGTCACCGACATGGGAAGAATCAAACTGGTCTTGGCTCTGGGGTGGGCTTTTCTGACTTTAGACTTCTCTCTTCATCCTTTATTGTTTGGGAAATACTGCTTGTCAGAGCTCCTTAGTTCTCTTTTAATGAGGGCTCAGTATATTCCTGCTTGGTTAATCAGCATTTCTTTCATTAGAAATGAGTTTTTAAAAAGTTCATCATTTTGGAGATTAAAAACTTAAAACAGGCTGGGGTGGTGCCACATGCCTTTAATACCAGCACTCAGGCAGAGGCAGGTGGATCTCTGTGAGTTCAAGGCCAGCCTGGTCTACATAGTGAGTTCCAGATCAGCTGGGGCTACAGGGAGACCCTGTCTCAAAAAGACCAAAAAGAAAACCTAAAAGGAACCGTAAAGAAGTTAAGGACCTGAAAAGCATAATAATTTTTAAAATTTACTAGAGTGGTTCAAAGGTAGTGGGCAGGCAGAAGAATTTGTGGACTTAAAGATAGGGCAATTAGGCCAGGCATGGTGGCGCATGCCTTTAATCCCAGCACTCAGGCAGAAGCAGGTGGATCTCTGTGAGTTCAAGGCCAGCCTGGTCTATATAGTGAGTTCCAGGATAGCTGGGGCTACAGAGAGACCCTGTTTCAAAAAGACCCCTCCCCCAAAAAAGATAGGGCAATTAAAATAATAAGGTCTGAGAAACAAAACAAAAAGTTTGAAGAAAATTTGAGAGACTAAGGGGTATGTAGGGTATCACCTTAAAGGACTAACATACATTATGAGAGTTATGGGAGGAAAGGAGAGCCTTAAAGAGACAGTGACTGAAAATGTCTCAGATTTTACCAAAAGCATGAATCTATACACCAGAAAGTTCAGTGAGCTCAGAAACTTGCATGAGGGTATAATGAAATTTTCAGAAGCAAAGTCAGAGAGAATCTTGGAATTAGCAAGAGAAATGATTTATTACATACACTGGATTCTCAGTAAACAATGGGCAGGATTCTTATATGAAACTGGAAAGGTCAGAAAGCCAGGGGATTATATATTCAAAATACCAAAAGAAAAATCTTGGTGGTTAGGGAGATTGTTCAGTTGATAAAGTATGTACTGTGCTAGCATGAGGACCTGAGTTCTAATCCCCAGCACCCACATACAAGTCAGGTAGGCTAGCACACATCTATAGCCCCAGTGCTGGAAGGACTGCTCAGAGAAAGGCAGATTCACAAAACTCATGGGCAACCAGTCTAGGTGAATAGATGAGCTCTAGATTCAGTGATAGACCTTCTCTCAAAACTAAGATGGAGAGTTGGTGATGGTGCACACCTTTAATTCAAGCACTTGGGAGGCAGAGGCAGGCGGATCTCTGTGAGATCAAGGCCAGCCTGGTCTACATAGTGTGTTCCAGGCCACAGGGAGACCCTGTCTAAAAAAGATTAAAAAAAAAAAAAAAGATGGAAAATGATGAGGAAGACACCCTAAAGTCAACCTCTGGTTTCCATGCACATGTGTGTGCATACACATGAACAAATACACACATTACACACATACAAAAATAAATCTCATACTACCATGAATGCTGCCATGCCTTCCCCACTGTGAAACTGAGCTAACGTAAATCCTTCTGAATTGCTCTTGTCAAGTATTTTCCCCTAGTGATGGGAAAGTAACTAATACAGAATGATAACAGTATGATCCAACAAATTAGATAATCTAGATAAAACAGACACATCCCTAAAACCACAAAACATGTCAAGACAAAAATCACAAAGAAATAGAAAATCTGATTGGGGGCTGGAGAAATGGCTCAGCAATTAAGATCACTTGCTGCTTTTACAGACTCAAGTTCCATTCCCAGCTCCCACATAACTGCTGACAATTGTCTGTAACTCCAATTCCAGGGGGAATCTGATGCCCTCCTCTGGCCTCAACAGGCATCAAATGCATGTGGTGCACTTTTGTGTATGCAGGCAAAACACATGTACACATAAAATAAGAATTTTAGAAAAGAGTGCAGCCGGGCGTGGTGGCGCATGCCTGTGGTCCCAGCACTTGGGAGGTAGAGGCAGGCAGATCTCTGTGAGTTCAAGGCCAGCCTGGTCTACATAATGAGTTCCAGGACAGCTGGGGCTACAGAGAGACCCTATCTCAAAAAGACCGAAAAAAAAAAAAAAAAAAAGTGTGCATACTACTTCTGCAGAGCACCAGAGTTCAGTTCTCAGCACTCCCATTACTCAGCTTATAACCAACTATCTGTGTCTCCAGGGGATCCAGTGCCATCTCTGGCCTCCGTGGGCACCTGCACTTACATGCATATAGCCACACATAGATATATATACATATTTAAAAATAAATGTTTTAAAAAGAAAAAAGAATCTGAGTAGACCTCACTAGTAAGGATATCAAGTTAATAATGATAAAATAATAAAAACTGGTAAAGTAAAGCTAATGGGGCATGATGGCCTTCCCAGTAAAATCAACATTTGAAGAAGAAACAGGGCAGGTAAGATGGAGCAGCAGGTAAAGGCACTTGCCACTGAGCCTGGCAACCTTAGTCCAGTCTCCAGAACCTACATGGTAAAAGAAGAGTGCCAGCACCTGCAAGTTGTCCTTTGACGTCCGCTCATGCTTTGGTGTGACTGCCCACCCCGCCACACAAAATCAGTGTAAAAATTTGAAGAATTGATGAACAAGTAAGGGCTGGGGATCTAGCTTAGTGGTAAAACCTTTGCCTGACACAGGGTCCTGGGTTCAGTCCTGAGCGCAGAAAACAGAACACAAAAGAAAAATTTCGACACAGGTAAACAATAACAAAAATCACTGTAAAGAGCCGGGCATACTCAGGAGGCAGAGGCAGAGGCAGGCTGATCTCTGAGTTCAAGGCCAACCTGGCCTACATAGTGATTTCCAGGCCAGCTGGGGCTACAGGGAGACCCTATCTCAAAAAAAGACCTATATTTATTGCTATATATATGTATTGGTATATATAGATGTATATATAATTGATACACTCACTAGCAGACTGAATTCATCCACATGTTCAAGGAATTTCAAACACCATGACCAGGGCAACTTACAGAAGGAAAAGTTTACTTTGGCTTGTGATTCCAGCGGTAGAGTTAGGCAGCCCAGGCAGGAAGTTAAGAGCTCACATCTGCAAGCATGTGAAGCAGAGAACGGACTGGAAGTAAGCTGAGGCTGTGAGCTCTTGAAGCCTGCCCCCAGTGATATGCTTCCTCAAGCAAGAACACACCTAAAGATCTCATGATCTGCCCCAGACAGTGCCACCAGCAGACCAACTGTTTAGATACTTGAGCCTATGGAGGATGTTCCTCATTCGTATCACCATAGGCTTTGATGTAGCTTAGTTGGTAGAGTGTTTGCCCAGCATGTGTGAAACCCTGGGTTCAGTCCCCAGCACTGCACAAATCCAGCCAACGTGGCTGGAGGTAGAGGTAGGAGGATCAGAAATTCAGAGTCATCCTCAACACTCTGTTTGAGGCTACCCTTGGCTATATGTGACCATCTCAAAAAAAAAAAAATGATAGTACATCACTTTATCAAAATGAGGAGGAAAAAAATCAGTCATCTCAACTGATATAAAATATTTGACTGAATTCAATACCCTTTAAAGATTAAAAAGCCCAACAAATGAGAAGCTCAGGATAAATATATCCAACGGCATAGCAAGAACTAGGTGAGGGCGCTGCTTCTGTTGCTTCCCTTCAACCTGGTGCTAGACATTGTAGCCGGAACAATTAAGAAAAAAGGGGTGTGAGGACTGGAAAGGAGGGAATAAAGGCATCTGTGTTTGCAGGTGAACGAGTTTGTATGTATAAACTCCCAAAGTACAGAGGAGTGACATATATAAAGTAGACACGCTAAATTGAATTACATTTCTGAACACTAGTAATAACACTCTAAAATGTAAATTAAGAAAGTAATTTGAATTAAAATAGCAAAAAATGGGATTCTTAGAAATTAACCTGGAGGTGAAAGTTTTTGTGTAATGAATACTAGAAATTACTGCTGAAATAAAGAAGACCTAACTCAGTGGAAACTGCTATCTCAGGGACTGACACGGTGACAGTCTTGGTAAGTAGAATGGAGTTGCCAGGAGCTGGGTGGGGCTGGGAGGAGAATGGGGGACAATTGCTTGATGGATTTGAAGTTCCCATTTTACAAGATGAAAAGAATTCTGGATCTGTGGTGGTGATAGGTGGCTGTGCAATGGAGTATAATACACACCAAAATGTACACTTAAATGGTCACTTTATGTCCTGTGTGCTTTATCATAAAAAGGAGAAAAGGCATAGGTCCTAGAAAGGAAAAAACGTGTCTTTCTGACCTGTGCACATTCCATCAGGACTTCATGGGCTGCAGCCCAGGGACCCTGCTCACCCCTGGGGTCATGCCTTCTGCTTTTTACATTTTAAACACCTCTCTGACTACAGATGCATTTGTTTCAACATTTCTTTAGGGGAAGACGGAGTCTATCACTGTGGTGAAGCTACTGAGCTGCTTTGATGACCTTGTGGCAGTTGGCACCGCCTCGGGCAGGGTTGCGGTTTTCCAGCTTGTGTCGTCCTTGCCAGGGAGGAATAAGCAGGTGAGTGCTCAGCTTTCTAGTGTTGCTTTGCTTCTTACACAATCCTCATGGATTTTTAAAATGAGAGATCCTGGCCTGCCCAGAAATCAGATGCTCAGTGCGATCTGCTGCTCATAATCCGTCAATGTCTGTGTCCCAGCTTGGGTGCTTGGCATGAGGCACACTTGAGTACATTGGTTGGTTGGTTGGTTGGTTGGTTGATTGATTGATTGATTGATTGACTGATTGATTGAGACAGGGTCTCCCTGCAGCCCCAGCTGGCCTGGAGCTCACTATGTAGACCAGGCTGGCCTCGAACTCACAGAGATCACCTGTCTCTGCCTCCCAAGTGCTGGGGTTAAAGGCATGCACTACCATGCCTGGCATATTTGAGTACTTTTATTTTTACTTAATAGTCTCTTGTGTTCTCTGTAAGTTTAATTCTTTTACATTTTATTTATTATTTTTATTTTATGTGTATGAATGTATTGCCTTTATGTATATAAGTATACCCGTGTGTCATATAGTGTCCACGGAGGTCAGAAGAGGGTGTCAGATTCCCCTGGAACTGCAGTTATGGAGTTAACCACCATGTAGGTGCTGGGAACTGAACCTGGGTCCTCTGCTGCCAGTGCTTTTAACCATTGAGCTATCTCTCCAGCCCCGAGTTTAAATTTTTTTAATTACATTTACTTTGTGTGTATATGTATGTGGGACTGCATGTGCCACTGCACATGTGTGGAGATCAGAAGACAACTTGGGGGAATTGGTTCTCTCCTTCTACCATGTGGGTCCTGGAGATTGAACTCCGGTTGTCAGGCTTAGTGGCAAGTGCCTTTACCTGATGAGCCATCTCAGTGCTGCCCCTGTTTGGTTTTGGTTTTGTTTTTTTTTTTTTTGTCTTTTTGAGACAGGGTCTCCCTATAGCCCCAGCTGGCCTGGAACTTACTATGTACACCAGGCTGGCCTTGACCTCACAGAGATGGTCCACCTCCTGAGTGGCTGGGATTAAAGGCATGTGCCGCCATGCCTGGCTGCCCTCTGTGAGTTTTGAATGTGGACAAGCAGATGAACCTTCTGCAGTTTCCCATGTGGGAAACCACCACCTCTGTAAGTAAGAATGACGCCCACAGCCGTAGCCAGTTATACATTCCTTGTATTTCATTGTCATCCATAGCTTCGGAGATTTGATGTCACTGGTGTCCATAAAAACAGCATTACAGCTCTGGCTTGGAGCCCCAATGGAATGAAATTGTTCTCTGGAGATGACAAGGGGAAAATCGTCTATTCCTCCCTGGATCTAGACCAGGTAAAGTTATTTTCAGAAATGTTGTTGGCCCTTTCCTTCTTTTTGAATGAATTACACTTATAATTACAATTTAGCTAGTTGGCTTGTGTTCTTTCTTTGTTTTGAGACAGGGTCTCCCTGTAGCCCCAGCTGGCCTGGAACTCGCTATGTAGACCAGGGTGGCCTTGAACTCACAGAGATCCTCCTGCCTCTGCCTGAAGCTGGGATTAGAGTGAGTGCAGCACACCCACTGGCTTGTGTTCTTCGTCTTAGTTCCCTTAGGATGTTATTTGTAGTGTTTTCTTTCATGGACTTTTCTAGTGTTTTATAAGTTCCTATTTCTATGACTAAAGAGTTATCTTACTGAAATAACATAAAAGTTGTACACATTTGAGTCAGGCACTTGAGAGGCTGAGGCAGGAGGATCTTCATAGGTTCCAGGCCAGCCTAGACTATATAACAAGGGCCAAGCCAGCTCGGGCTACATAGTAAAAGCCTGTCTCAACACAAACAAATGAACTAGGATACTCTGTGCTATTTCGATACAAGTGTGGTGTTCAAATCAGGCACTACAGCTAGCTCTTCAAATACTGCTCACTTTGAGGAGAAACATTCACATTTCATTACAATGTTTTCCTGGCTACTACTTGGGAAAGAGCTGATATCCTTCCTGATTGCTTGAAACTTTAGCAAAGGATGCAAAGCATTTTCCAGTCATGTCTATGGACAGAGGTTAGTGTTTCAGTGAATGGAGAACTCGTCTCCAGCCAAACTGATGCATGTAAGAAGACCTCATGTGGGGAAGGCCATGGGAGGGAAGAGTGACAGCAGCAAGCTGACCTATCCCAAGCTCATGTTACTCTATATACTTCATCAGTGCACATGGGGTTGTATGTTTTTTGTTTTATACATACTTTTGTCTTTTGGGGGGTGCACACTTTCCACAGCACTCGTGTAAGGGCTCAGAGGACAACTTGCAGGTTCTTTCCTTCCACCATATGTATCCCAGGTGTTCTAGTTTGTTCTCCACTGCTGTGACAAAACACTCTGACCAATACCAGCTTGGGAGGAAAGGGTTTATTCAGCTTACATCTCCCAGGTCGCAGTTCATCAGGGAGCCCAAGGTAGGAACTCAGGGCAGGAACCTGGAGGCAGGAGCTGGAGCACAGGCCATGGAGGAACACTGCTTACTGGCTTGCTCCCCTGGCCCCTGCTCAGCCTGCTTTCTCATGCAACACAGGCCCACCTGCCCAGGGGTGGCATCACCCACAGTGGGCTGGGCCCTCCCACATCACTCAGCAATCAAGAAGATGCCCCACAGACATGGCCACAGGCCAGTCCAATGGAGGCAATTCCCCAGTATAGGCTCCCTCAACCCATGTGTGTCAGGTTGACGCTAAAGCTATCCAGCACACCAGGAATGGCACTCAGGTCATCAGGCTTAGCAGCATCACCTTTACCCATTGAGTCATTTCCACAACTCTGTGTATTCTTATTTCCAAGATTTCAGTCACCAGCCCAAGTATGCAAAGCTTGGATCTGACAGGCTTATTTCAAACAGGTTCTGCTCCAAAGTTCATGGGCTTTATGATTACCCGTGTTTTGTTGTGTTCTGTACCTGCCAGAGGGACTAGACAGTTGGTGGTACTACCCTTACTGTTCCTTATTTGTAGCTTTTATAATCCAGTGCTGAATTCCAAGACTGAATTATTACAAATGTTTCTGGTCTCAGACCCTCTTATACTCTTAGGAAGATGACCCCAAAGGGTTTTAGTTTCTATAGGTTATAGCTATAAAATACACTGTGTTAGAAATTAAAACTGAGGGCCAATGAGATGGCTCAGTGGGTAAAAGGCTCCTGCTACTAAGCCTGATGACTTTGGCTTCACATAGATATGTAGTTGGAAATGGTAGGAGTTTTGGGGTTTTTTTGTTTATTTGTTTGTTTGTTTTTTTGTCTTTTTGAGACAGGGTCTCCCTGTAGTCCCAGCTGTGACCTGAACTGACTATGTAGACCAGGCTGGCCTTGAACTCACAAAGATCCACCTGCCTTTGCTTCCCAAGGCTGGGACTAAAGGCGTGCGCCACCACATCCGGTGGTAGGAGTATTTTTATAGCCTTTTCAGAATATTGTGAATTGTCTTTAATACACCCACCTTGACTAACAGTGGTTTCCTTAAAGGCTCTTGTTACAAATGACACATGGAGGTCAGTTTCCCTCTCTCTCTCTCTCTCTCTCTCTCTCTCTCTCTCTGTCTCTCTCTCTCTGACTTAATGAGTTTCATGAGGGTTGCTCACATGAGCATGAGTCAGGGGTCTTTTACAGGAACATGGGCACCTTACCAGTGCCTACACCACTGAAGAAAATGTCTCTCTCCCAGCAACCATTAACTGCCAGTAGCTCCTTATGGAGGGGTAGAGTCTTGTGAGCCCCACCATCTACTATGGAATGTTAATGGACCCAGTCTCATGCTGGTTTTGTGCAGGTGGTCACAACTACTGTAAATTCATGAGTGCAATAGCCATGCCACGCCAGGAAGACAGCATGCCACAGCACTCCTCCTATTTTTGTGGCTCTTAAATTCTTTCTATCCTCTTTTCTAAACTGTTTCCTGAGCCTTGAGTGGGTAATATAGATGCCATATTTAGGACTGAACATTCAACAACCACTTATTCTCAGCACTTTGACCAGTTCCAAGTCTGCAGTAACCACCACCCACTGCAAAAAGAGGCTTCTGTGACCAAAGCTGAGAGCAGCGTGAAGCTGTGGCCAGAAACATAAGTGTGTAGAAGGCAGTTTGACGGTGCAGTGTGTCCATTTAGCAAAACAACAGCAGTAGCTTCCCCACTAGGGCCTGGGACTTCCCCAGCCACGGGCTTTTGACCAGCTTTACAGTACCAGGCTTGAATTGCCTCCTGTGGCGTGGGCTTCAAATCAGTCTGAAAGCCGTCGGTCACCCTCCTAACAGTTGTGTCACTGTTGCACCAGTGGGCACATCTTGCCTGGCAGATCAGTAGTGTAGCACTAGGGGTTCACAGTTGATTGAACTGTTGATAACTTTTCCCCCACCAGCCTGCATAGCACCTTCTAGCACTCTGAAAGCTAGCCATCAAGGAAGAAGCTTCCAGATCAGCAATCAGTTCTCTGTCTTGCAACCAAAGTGTGTAGTGTCTTTAGCAGTAGGTCTAGTGGGCAAGCAAGAGCAGTGGCAATAGCCTATATTGTTTAAGAAGCTTCTGGGACTCTCTGGCCAACAACTCATAGGGAAGTGGTCCACTCAGTTGCTTCTGGGAGCGGTTTATCATATGGGAGTTTCATTAGAGGCTAGTTGCTAACCTTCCTTTGTGGGTTTCCTATACCATGTTACATTAAAATCTGTTATTCTACCTTGCACTTAAATTTTTTATTTATTTTTTTAAATCTTATGTGTGTTTTGCCTGTACATATGCAAATGCACCCATGTTGTACAATGGGTGTCTTACCTGTGTGTATATCAGTGCACCCCTGTTGTGCAGAGGCCAGAAGAGGATGTCAGGCTCCCCTGCAACTATAGTTAAGGACAGTTGTTATCCTCCATGAGGGAACCTAACTCAGGTCCTCTGTAAGAGCAGCCAGTGCTCTTAACCACTGAGCCATCTTTCCAGCCCCCTACCTTGTACTTTGGATCTTTTACTCTCCTTACATGATTTTGTAATATTACATGTTGGTCACCTGGGAGACTAGGAGTCACAGAGGGTTCAGATCACAGAAAGCATCTCTGTTAATGCCATCATTCTGATCAGAGAAGTCTGAGCATTTAGAATCTTGTCAAGTTTACACAGACACAGGTGTTTTTTTTTGTTTGTTTTTTTGTTTTTTAATGTGTATATGAGTGTTTTGCCTCTTACATGTATGTACATACACACAGGTCATGGAGTGCCTGAGGAGGCCAGAAGAGGATGTCAGATCTCCTGGAACTGGAAATAAGGACAGTTGTTAGTGGCCATGTGGGAACTGAACCCATGTCCTCTGCAAGAGCAGCCAGTGCTCTTAACCACTGAGCCATCTCTCCAGCCCCAGACACAAATTTTTATCTTTCCTTGAAAGTACCAAACACTATCACTTGTTTCCCTTGAAACAACAGCTCTCTTTTTATTTTCCTTCTTTTTTTTTTTTTTTTTTTTTTTTTTTTTTTTGCGGCATGTACAGATGAAGCCAGCTCCGCCACCAGCCCCAACAGGCTCTCTTTCATTTATTTATTTTGCAGAAATGTCAGGCAGTACCTAACTGAACAGCTATATTGTTTGAGTGAAAGTGGCATTGTGTTGTGTGAAAAAGCATCTGGCTCAGGTCGTAGCTCTTCCACAGCACATGTTTGTTCTTTTCCTCGAGAGACCCAGTGTGTTCACCATCCCAAAGTAGTGGGTGTACACATCTCATGTGGTCACATCTAGTAAAGCCGCTACCTGTCCTTAAGGGTAAAGACAGTGAAATTACCATTTTTCTGCATCAAGATGTTCTCCAGTGGGATACATCTGTTTATGGTGCAGGAATGGTGACTCTTGGAAGGTTTGATGTGGTGGCCTTGGTTCGTGCTGGGTTCTAAGTGCTCTGTGCACAATGGCTTCTGTACCAACACTGAGGGCATATAGAAGGGTACAATATGTCCATTTAGCAAAACAACAGTCGTAGTGAAAAGCAGAGATACCATCTTCACATTACATGAGAATGGGTTTGGTCTAGAAGACCCAATGAGAGAGTCTTAGTCTTAGGGACCCCTAATGGGAGCCCCACTTAGAACTGCTGCTCTGTGGGCATCTCTTGTAAGGTTGTCAAGGGTCTTGAGCTCTGTTCTTTCCTATTGCTGTCTCCATAGTTGTTGCTCCTTGTCTTCTCCTCCCATCCTTGTAGCTGCCAAAGAACCCAAGAGAAGACCCCTCAGAGGGACCTAACAAGCAGGACGTTTGAGGCAGCGTCTTCCTTTGGAGCCCAAGCTGCCTTGAGCTCACAGCAGTCCTCCTACCTCAGCCTTCTGAGTGCTAGGACCCATACACCACCACACCCAACTTAGAAGCAGATTTTTTTTTTTTCAAACAGGGTCTCCCTGTGGCTCCAACTGGCCTGATACTGATGTAGACCAGGCTGGCCTCAATCTCACAGAGATCTGCCTGCCTCTGCCTCCAGAGTGCTGGTGTTGAAGGCGTGCGCCACCACACCCAGCAGAGGCAGATTTTGACACATGAAGTACATCTTGTATTAGCAGCAAAATCCCTGCTAGAATTTCACTGTGTGTATAAAATACTGTTTTGTGTTAGTTATTTATTTTGTATTAGTGTGGTGGACACATCTGCCACTGCACCCACTGGAGGTCAGAGGATGGCGGCCCTTGGGGATTGGTTCTTTTATTCCATAGTGGTTTCCTGGGATCAGATTCAGGTTATTGGGCTTGCTGTGCCACTCCATTCCCTTCTAACATGTTTGCTGTGACCCTTTCAGTTGGATTAGACATAATGCTCTTGGATTTTTTTCAAATTCTTTGTAGAGAGCATGAAAACAGATTATTGTCACAATAATTTCAGAGAAAGTCTCACTTTGCTGTGTAGTATAATAAAATACATAATACACTTGGTGGTATAATTTTTTTTTTTTTTTCTTTGAGACAGGGCCTCCTTGTAGCCCCAGCTGACCTGGAACTCACTATGTAGACCAGGCTGGCCTCTATCTCACAGAGCTCTACCTACCTCTGCCTCCTGAGTGCTGGTATTAAAGACATGCGCCACCACACCCAACTGGTATGATGTATTTCTGTTTACATATTTATGAATTCTCCTTTGAATTATCTCCTGAGAGCATTTTTAAATATTTTACTTATGAGTGTAATGCCTGCGTGTATGTATACGCACCCATGTCATGCTATGCCTGCAGAGGTCAGGAGAGGACATTGGATTCCCTGGAATTGGAGTTACAGACGGTTGTTAAGTACCATGTGAGTACTGGAAATCGAAGTCTTCTGCAAGATCAACCGGTGCTCTTAACCACTAAGCCATCTCTCCAGCCCCATACTGAGAGCTGGTCCTGGTAGTACACGCCTTTAATCCCAGCACTTGGAAGGCAGAGACTGACAGAGTACCTTTAGTTCTTAGCACCCACATGGAAGCTAATAACCACCTGTAGCTCCAGTTCTAGGAGAATCTGATACCCTTTTCTGATCTCCACAGGCACTGCACGACCTCGGTGCGCTCTGTACATGCAGGCAGTACACACACGCACATAAAATAAAAGGAAAGAAATAATTTTTTTTTGGGGGGGGGTCTTTTTGCTGGGAGTAAAGGTATGCACCACCACACCCAGCATAAATTCCTATTTCTATTTTTGTTTGCTTATTTATTTTGATCTTTTTGAGCCAGGGTCTCCTTGTAGCTCTAGCTAGCCTGGAACTCACTGTGTAGACCAGGCTGGCCTTGGACCTAAAGGCATGTGCCCCCATGCCTGGCTAAATGCCTTTTTTTTTTTTTTTTTGTCTTTTTGAGACAGGGTCTCCCTGTAGCCCCAGCTGGCCTGGAACTCACTTTGTAGACCAGACTGGCCTTGAACTTACAGAGATCTGCCTGCCTCTGCCTCTCAAGTGCTGGGATTAAAGGCATGCACCACCACACCCAGCCTAAATTCCTATTTTTAAATCTAACTTTTTTATTTCTAGAATCCAGGAGCTAGGTAAAAGAGTAGGAAATGAACCTACTTTTGGAAAATGCATTTGGAAGGCATGTCACAACAAATCAAAACTTACATTGTTAAACATTTTTTTCTCTAGAGATTGATTTAAAATGACTGGGAAATTAATAAAACAATTTTAGGGGCTGTAGAGATGGCTCAGGGGTTGAGAGCATTGAATGCTCTTTCGGAGGACCGAGGTTCAATTCCTAGCACCCAGATGGCCACTAACAACTCCAGTTCCAGGGGATCCAAAGCATTCTTCTCACCTCTGCAGGCATTGCACGACAGGAGTGTACTTATACACATGCAGGCAATTACATTCATATGCATAAAATAAAAATAATAAGTAAAAGTTTTTTGGGGGGGTTATTTTTGAGACAGGGTCTCCCTGTAGCCCCAGCTGTCCTGGAACTCACTATGTAGACCAGGCTGGCCTTGAACTCACAGAGATCCACCTGCCTCTGCCTCCTGAGTGCTGGGATTAAAGGCGTGCACCACCACACCTGGCATAAGTAAAATGTTTTAAAAATTAGAAAACAAAGAAGCAATTTTAGACTTTACATCAAAACTAAAGACAAATCCATAAATTCTGTGAAATTTACCTTTCTTCAACCTCTCTAGTCCCTTCTAGTCCTAGTTGGATTTTCGTCTTCATTCTTTATCTTCAAACAGAATAAAATTCTATATCAAAGGAAATGATGGTTAGGTATTGCTTTAGGCTAAAACCCAGAAAGAGAACAGGTCATATACAGTATATTAAGGTTTTTGAAATTGGAGCTGAAGCGATGGCTCAGTGGTTAAGCACATCAGCCACTCTTGCAAAGGACCCAAGTTCAATTCCCAGCACTCACATGGCAACTAACAATCATCTGTAACTCCAGTTCCAGGGGATCTGATGCCCTCTTATGGCCTTCATGGGCTCTGCATGACACAAGTACATTTATATACATGCAGGCAAATCACTCATGCACATAAAATAAAAGTAATAAAATCATTTTTAAAGAGTTTTCAGGGGCTAGAAAGATGGCTCAGCAGTTAAGAACACTGGTTGTTCTTGCAGAAGACCTGGGTTCGAATCCCAGCACCCACATGGCAGCTAAAACCTGTCGGTCAGCCCAGTCCCAGGGAATCCGACAGCATCTTCTGACCTCTGTGGGCATTTCACCACATGGGTGCAGTTACCTACACGCAGGCAACACACATACACATAAAATAAAAATTAAAAAAAAAAAGATTTTTCAAAGTCCTCTCTGTTGAGTAAACTTTTTTTTCAGGGGGGAGAGTATTTCAATTTACAGGTCCATCACTGAGGGAAGCCAGGGCAGGAGCTCAAGCAGAGACCCCTGAATGCTGTTTCCTGGCTTGCTTCCCTGCTTGCTCAGCTGCCTCTTATTACTATCATTATTATCAGCATTTTTTAAAATAACCTGATTACATTGGAAAACTTTGTATAGGTTGGAGAATTTGGAAGGAAAATGAATGCCAAACTTACTTTCTAGCAACAGAAATTTCACAGCATTGTTGAAGCTTGGTAGTACAGTTTTGTCAGTAAATAATGCTAAGAAATTGTAGTTGACATATAGAATTGCAGAGTTATATTCTAAAATACAAATTACATATTTTTAGTTTGAGAGTTACATCAGTTTAGTTATATGACTTTACTGTTTCTTTTCAAACTTGGTGTAGTGTGAGATAGTTGTTAACATTTATTATTTTTCTCTTATTTTTTTAGGTAAGGATTTCCCCAAATGTTTTTGTAGTAGGTTGACATTGAGTCTGGAGGAACTTGAAACATACTTTTTGTTGTTGTTGTTGTTTCCTTTCATTTTGTCTTGTTTGAGACATGGTCTCATGTAGCCCAGGCTGCCTTGAACTCACTATCTAGCCCAGAATGACCATGAACTCTTGCTTTTCTTGCCTCCATCTCACAAGTGCTAACATTACAGGTGTGCACCACTATGCCTGTCAAAAAGAGTTTGTTTTAAGGTTGACCTAGATACGACTAGCAGAAGTATGCCTCCTGCCACTGTGAAGGTGGCTGGGCAGCTTTGACCATGTGTTGGGTTTTCTCACAGGGGATCTGCAACTCGAACCTGGTGTTGGAAGAGCCATCTTCCATAGTGCAGCTGGATTACAGCCAGAAGGTGCTGCTGGTCTCCACCCTGCAGAGAAGTCTACTCTTTTACACAGAAGAAAAGGCTGTGAAGCAGATTGGATCCCAACCACGGAAAAGGTAAGCTTCAGAAGTATTCAGTTGGCACTCAGCATTGAACTTTAAGCTCTCCTACCTCTCCTGTTGGCTAGATGTGGGACCACAGCTACATGAGTTTGGGGTTCCTGGTGACCTGTGCCTACCAAGGCCTGTCAAGCACACTTCAGGGAGTCTAATGGAAAGAACAGGTCCTTTAGTTGAAAAGCTGCACCCCAGAACTGGGTATGAGGAGCCTCAGGGGACTATGCTGTGTGTCCAGTCCAGTCTCAGGCCCTCTGTACAGCCCTGAGGATTCAGCATGTGTTTGTCAGGCACCTCTGTGCCCCGGGCCCCTGGGGCACTCTCCCCTATGCCAGATTGAGGCCAAATAGCAGGGCAGTTGTGGGCTTCTTACTGAAAACTAAAGGGCAGACCCAGGGCTTTTGTTTAACTTTGGTCTCATTATGTATGTAGCCCTGGCTATCCTGGAACTCACTGTGTAAACAAAGCTGCCTTGAATTCACAAAGATCTACTTCCCTCTGCCTCACAAGTGATGAGATAAAGTCATGTGCCACTATGCCTGGTCCCAGACCCAGGTCTCACTGACAGTTGTGGAACTGCTGTAGAGCACAGTAGAGAGTGCTATGAGAATTTAGGCAGGCTTCTGCCCAGTTTGGGGTCAGGAAAGGGCTCCTGCAGGCATGGGACTTCATGCTGAATAAGAGGCCAAGATGGGGAGGGTTCTGGGCTCTGAGAAAGAATGTCTCTCCTTTGACATGACAGTGAAGGGAAGGGTTAGGACTCTCTGTAAGGCTGGCCATGAGACAAAAGGACACATTGTGCTTCATTGTCTCACTTTATCAGGAAAATGAGCTTGAGTACTCTGCAGTCTCTGTTTGGGGATGAACAGGACAGGGGAGGCAGAGCTGTGGAGGACTTATCTAAGAAGGAGTTCAAGGAGCCCGATGTGGGTGAGGAAGCAGGCTGTCAGCTGGCCATTGGGAATTAGAGGAATCCCATCCTGTGTCCTCCTTTCAGTAAAGGAACATTGTTGCCCACAAAGATTTGGAACAGGATGGCAGTGGGTCAGCAAATACAGAGAAGATTTGAGGCAGCTGCAGAGTGGGGAGACTGGCAGACACTTGTGAGGGCCTCCCTGGGGCTGGTGGTACTGTTGGTGCCAGGCATGGGGACGGGAGGGCGAGGTCAGACAGAAGCAGCCAGTCAGCCTCTTGGCACATTGGAGTCTGTTCTGTGTCCTTTGCTTTGCAACAACACTCCGCTTACTCTTTCCCTTCCTGTTGAAGGGACACGTTCCTGCCTTCTCTATGGCTTACTTCTTCTCTGCTGTTTTCTTTTTTTGTTTGTTTTGGTTTTTTTGCTTTTTATTTATTTATTTGGTTTTTTGTTTTGTTTTGTTTTGAGACAGAACTCCCTGTAGCCCCAGCAGGCCTGGAACTATGTAGACCAGGCTGGCCTTGAACTCACAGAGATCCACCTGCCTCTGCCTCCCAAGTGCTGGGACTAAAGGTGTTGGCTACCACATCCAACCAGAGTACCTTCTGTGCTGGATGCTTCAGTTGTCAAGCTGACACACCAGGGAAGAAGGAACCTCAATTGAGGGATTTTCTCCATCAGATTGGCCTGTGGGCATATCTGTGGGGCAGTGTCTTATCTTGTCTTGTTTGAGACAGGGTCTCCCTGTAGCCCGGCTGGTCTGGAACTTGCTGTGTAGGCCAGGCTGGCCTCAAACTCACAGAGATCTGCCTCTGCGCCCAACCCTCCTCCCCTTGCCCCGAGTGCTGGGGTTAAAGGCCTGGTTGTGGGACTTTTTCTTGAGTGTTGAGTGGTGTGAGAGGGCCCAGCCTGCTGTGGTTGATACCAGGCCTGGGCGGATAGTCCTGGGCTGTAAAGTAGGCTGAGCACGGGTCAGAGGAACAGGCCAGGAAACAGCGCTCCTCCATGGTCTGAGCTTCAGGTGCTACCTCCAGCTCCTGCTCTGAGTTCCTTCCTGTTCTGGCTTTCCTCATGGGTGAACTGTGATCAGGACTTGTATGCCAAATAAACCCTTTTCCCCCATTGACACAGAGGCACAACTCTCACCTCAAAGAGAATAAGAGATAGTTTCTTCTGAGTCAAATACGAGTGGCCCAGGAACACAGATTAAGATCACCCCAAATCCCATGTTCCAACACAGTAACAGTTTCATGAAATTTTTATAGAAAGAGAACAATGAAAGCCATCAATCAAAGGTACTTTTAAAAATACATTGGTGGAGACATCAGAAAGGTGTGTTAGAGCAAAGTGGGGAGAATTCTGCTCTAGGCCTTAGCTGCTATCTGACAGGCTTCTCCAGCCTTGGGTTGGTGGAAGCTGGTGGCCTGTTAATACATTCCAAAAGGTTTGTATATGTTTGTCACAGGATGTTAAGTCAGATACAGAATTGGGCAAGGAATGGCTGTTTAGAAGCTAAAGATGGCCCAGGATAAATGGTAATTAGGCACTAAATCCACAGTATTCCAAACTCCACAGTCACTAAAGCTCTAATCAGGTTGATCAGCCTTATGGAAAGTTGGGTTTCAGGATACAGGGTTTTTTCTGGGAACTTTCATTCACACTCCAAGCTGGTTTTGGTCAGAGAGTTTTATCATGGCCCTAAAAGGCAATGGAAAGAAACAACACTAATATGCCTTCTTAAGAGGGGAATCTCTCTGTTGGCCCTGGAAACGTCAATGGGATTATCAGCCTGGTTCTGCAGAACTGAGTTCTGGCTTTCAGCGGGTATCCTCTTCTCCCTGGTGCTGAGTTTGGGCTCATCAGTCATGTCTTGCTAGACTGTGTCTTCTGAAAGAATTGGGGACTATAAAGAAAGGCGTAGCCTCCTTGCCTTGTGTATGGAGACCCAGACAGTTTCCATGCCTCATCTGGTTGTGGTGTGGTAGGGTCTTTGGCATTGGCTAAAAGTATATTCTTTGCCAGGGACTGGTCCAGAATACAGAAAAAAAATGAAAGTCTCCTCAGAGGGAGCCTCTTTTATGGAACCTTAAAGAAGTGAAGGGTAATGCAAGTGAACCATAAGAGTTTCCAACCTGTGTCTTAGGGCTTGTCTTTCTGTCATATACCTTAAGCCTTAAGTGGTGATTGCAAGGATGGGGCCATGCCTGTCCCATGCTTCATTCAGCACATGTTTGGGAATGGCTGCTATACGTGCTGCAGCGATGAGACAGTAAGGACAAGGCTTCAGACAGGGCAGAGGTGGTTAGTCGATCAAGAGATGGGGGTAGAGGATATATAGTGGGTGCCATAAGGACTCAGTTATGGTGAAACATTACAGAACTGCCATGGTGAGCAGGGCACTTCTTGAGATGGAGCAGTCAAGGAAGGCCTCTAGACAGTGATGTTTGAGCTGAAGCCTTCAGCATAGGAAGAGCTGATGGAGAGCATCCCAAGCTCCAGAAACAAGTGTCAAGGCCCAGCTTAGGCCAGCCTTAGATGTTCCAGCAACCAGAGGGGCCTGGGGTAACTGGAGAAGTTGGTGGTTGGCACTGATATAAAGGCTAGAATGGATGGGGTGTACCAGCTTGTGGAGAGTTGTGTCACCCTCACCCTGATTTATTCCAAATGCCATGAACCTTGAAGCTGTTGAGGAACATTAGGCAGGAGTATGACAGTGTGCACTGCACTCAGAGCCCACCTTGTCCCGCAGGACAAGATTGTAGTGACTAGCAAGAAGGGAGATGGGGAGCCCGCTCAGGGTGGATAGTCATGAAGAGGGAAGAGTAGTAGGAGGTGCAGCTTAGACATGGCTGGATAGCATATCGGATGTAGTAGGCAACTGGAAGAAAAGATTAAACAAGATTTGTGTGCCCTTGGCTAAAACTGGACAGAAGGAGAGGAATTTACCAAGCTGGGAGGACAGGTTCAAGGTCTGACACCATTTTGGACATAGAGTGTGAGATAGCCAACTGGAAATGGCAGTAAGGCATTCTGTGGACAGGTCTGGAGCCCTGGGAAGAGGTCTCCCGGAGAAGTCAGTTGATCCCTCAGGTTCAGGAGGCATTAATGACCCATACTGGGTCTCGGCTCATTATGCAGGGAGACAAGTGTGAAGAAAGCAAAGCTGATCTCAGATCTCACCTTACACTCCTGTGTTCCACGGTAACAAAGAAGGTTCAGAGTTTGAGAGGAAGGAGCGCCTGGGGCTCCTCTGAGGTGGAGATTTGAGCTTAGTCCTGAAGAACAAGAGAGCAAGCCACGAGAAGCCAGAAGCAGAGAGCCCCGTGAGAACGTAGGGTGAGGAGGGGACCCAATCCCACAGGTGTTGTGACCCTGCTGAGGGCTGCTCCACTCTAGTGGTGTGGGCATGAAAGGGTGCCATCAGGGCATGGCACTCACTTTCTGATGGGAAATACAGGAGAAGGGGCAGGAGCGGTTGCCAGGGCGGCCAACAAGAAACCCAAGGATGAGCTAGAGGACAGGTGGTGGAGTCACACTAGTGAGTGGTGGGGCTCCTTCAAAGGCACTGCTGACAGACTTGCTGGCATGTTGGCTCTGAGTTGTGAGAGAAAGGTTTGTCAGAGAAGGTTCTTGAATATATGGCCCAAACAGTTGACTTGGAGAAGCCATTGGTTCTCTGTGAGAAGCAGAGGCAGAAGACATTAAGAGTTAGGGTTGGGGAGTGAGGTGCCGAGACCAAACGGAGGAAGTAGAGCAGCCATGGGACCCTCACAGCATGGAGTTATTTTGGGCCTTTGGATTTGTAATCCATGTGAGACGCCCCTTATTGAGAGCAGGGGTGAGGAATGGGAAGGGCTGAAAGAGCATGGGCAGTGACAGCTTGTGGAGAGTTCTTTCATAAAAGGGATCAGTAATAGGTAGTACATAGAGGGGAACTTGGAGACTGAGGTTTGCTAAGATGGGCTGTGCCGCAGCAGGTGGGAGTGTGACATGGGAGGGACACGGTGTAAGCCAAGGCTCTGGAATGCTGGAGCATGGGAAGCTGCAGAGGGGTTCCTGGAGAGAGTTTTAGAGCACGGCTGAG